AACAAGCAGGAAGATGCGTTATTTGGACAGAAGTAGAAGTATTTCTTTTCCACATGGACTTGTACAAAATGCACATTGGTGTAGGCTGTTTATGTACACATAAGCATAATTTGATTTTTCATTTCAGGAAACAGTGCAGGCATTAAGAGATTCAGACTCATTCAAACTGGCATTTTTATTTTGAGTATTATAAGTGTGGCTACAGTTCGTGTTCAGATTGAAGGAATTTTTTCCAAGGCTCCAAAAGCCTGTTAAGTGAATATGCACTGGTAGACCAAGGCCAATAGTTGTACAGTTGCCTGGTCCCCGAAAACTCAGTTGTTGTTTTTTTAGCTTAAATCAATGGGAAAAGGTTCAGGCAGTGGAAAAAGACAAGGTTATTTAGCAAGGACAACATCAAACCTGTAATGATCACTGACTATCTTTGTCTGTGTGTCACTGTTGCCAGTGCTTCACGCAGTTTGCTCAAAGCATCATTAGTGAGTAGGAGTGTATGGTCACTCCTTTCAGTAAAGTCTTCACCTTCAATAATGCGCTAAATTGTCAGGCTGACAAATGTACATGTACCAGTAGTGCTTCTTTTCTGGCATATTGGAATTGAAATTGTCAGAAATTTTCCTTTTGCACACTGATATCATTAAAGAGAAAAAAATGAGGTTAACATCAGAATGTGGTTTATAAGTGCATGCTTTGAAAGTTTGTACCGCATAGACAGGGGTTAGATTTATCTAGGATTTCTCCAGATTTCAAGATTCATTCATCAGGATTTTTCCAGATTTCTGGGTTTTTCAAACAATTTCACTTCAGATCTGGAAATCCTGTTTTTCCCATGAAGGTGTTTTTATAAACATTGACGAGCATAAGAAATACATGTAGGTATTTTGAGGGGTACTTCTGCATACATGTACAGGTACAGGTATAGGCAAACACATGTCCATGTACATGTACACAAGACTCTATGCTGCTGTGGGGCCAGGTCAGAATCTCTGCGGATGAAAGTTTAGGATATTTCATTTTCCTCCAATCTCACCCCTGGTAAATGCACGTGTATGTGTACATACGTGTATACATGTGTACATGTACATGTATAATTGCAAGTGTCTAAGGTCTGTCGATGCATCGATAATGTCTGATATATCGATTTTGCTTTGATATTGATATGAACGATATAACTTTAACATTGAAATCGATATATCAAAAGTGCCAATATAACGAAAAAAATGAAGCTATAAATATAATAAATTACAGTGTAGTTGTTTGTGGTGAAAGAAGAATGTTTGTGACTTTTCCTAGAACTGTACTTGATGCGGGCCGCTCAAGAGAAACTCAAAGGCAAGAAATTGTTACAATGTTCAGCCCAATAAACCTCTGACTCCCCTTTCATGCATTGAATCTCAACACCGCCGGCTTACTCTGATCTTGCTGACTGTCTCATCTTGCTGACGACTGTTGCAATCTTGCAGACTTGTTAAAATAAATAAAGATTAAATCCTTTTAAGAAATCTGGAAGAAATTGAAAGCCATGCACAGACACCCAGTCTAATAGTGTTGTCTTGGTAGTACTATTGCTTAGCGATGTGGATCCAAAATCAACACCTTGATTGGTCTGTGAGAATGTGGGGCATTCCGAACATCAAAACTGGCCAATCTACACCTGGAGCAAAAACTTACATGATTTACACCTTTTGCACGCCCTTTGTAAGATTTCATGGCTTTGCCAATTGTTTAGTCTTTCCTTAAGACCCCAGTGCTTGATGTCGAAATGTTCAGAATGCACCCTCTTTATGGCTGTGTGCTCGCTACACTAGCGAGTCCCAAAACAAGTGGAATGGTGCTCTCCTACAATGACCCAAATAATCCCTGACGCCTTGAACTGAGAGTGATAACCTCACAGCCCGCACATGCAGGTCCCATGCATTTTTCTTGGCAATGACCCAAAACTGCTATCAATAATTGTTTGCGGAGTAGGCTGAATCAAAACAGCACCTGAAAACTGAATATATGTACTGCAGCGTTAAGGTCGGTTCATGCATGTACGTGTACTTGAATCGGCCGTATAGTACAATGGGCGCCAAACGCTTTCCTTCTGCAGCATGGTTCAAACTTGAAAAGTTTACGTTTTGGGGGGCAGTTTTAGCAAGTCAGTTGGTTTGGGTATAAAAGAACTGAACCGTCAATAAGGTCTGCCATTCCAGTCACCGGCAAGCTGGGACTTCGCAAGTTGTGCATTGATTTTTTTTGAGAGGCAAGCCATAGAGCTGGCTGTAGTGATTGTGGATCGGCGAGACTTAAGAGGGCACATTCATATTAAAATGAGGTGAGCCATCAGTGACGCCAGGCATTCCAAACGTGGACTGGCCGGACTTTTATTGATATTTAAATGAGGCACATCATCAATGAAGCCGACCGCTCAGATCAGGGACTGGCTGGAGTATGCATGCTTTCGCATTTGAATATAACGTTCAAACTGAGGGTTGTTGGTGTTGTTAGGTGCTCTTTTCGGGAAGATTAAAAAAGCTCGCAAATTCTAGCAGACTTATCGCGTGGTGCACGGTTAGGACCAATTGGTAAGCCGCCTAACTGCAAAAGGTGTTCCGCATTGGTTTTGAGCTTGAAAACATTCTTCGAAACAATTTAATATTTCAATATTATCGATGTCGGGCTGCTAACATATCTATATTGGCAATTATCTATATTTGACGAAGCTTATTAGTGTCTGAACATGCTGAGAGCAAAAGGGGATGTGGGATTAGGAGCATTTTGTCAGGACCTGTCCAGGGTCACATTTCTTGGTTTTGTTTGTTCATTGAATGTATGAATTTGTGTGCATTCCATTCCTTGTTCTCAACATCTGATGTTGTACACGAACATGTGTATTGTCATTGAAAATTTACTCTGTAAATGTACCAGTACATTATTTTTGCATACCATATGTGCATTGTTAACCCAGATGGTTTGTGTACACGTAGGAGCACCACTTTTATGGCATTGCAACCTGACCTGTGTGGACAGCATGCTGCTTTCTGACGACAATGGACTAGGGAGAGAAAGTACATGTCATAATGGGGGAAAAAACCTTCCCGCATTTCATTTGGGGAGCCATTGCTGTTTGGCCCCTGTGTGTGAAAGATTTTTTTTTTTAATCGATTAGTGCTGACGTGAGACTGCCGACAGAGCCGGATTTTCCAACACCTCTGCTGACGAGTGAGATCTCTCTGCATACATAATGGGGCCTTGATAGCCTTCCCACAAGTAGGCATTGCAGTACATGTACATACCGGTGTCGTACTGAGTTGCCCATGTGTGGTTATCAACTACATTGTATCTCCCTTTCTTTCAGTGAGGCCCTCCAGTTGTTGCAGAGATGTGAGTTAAGATGAGGGCCGTGGATCGTCTCAACAGTGCAAATGATGATCACAATCAGAATATGTTGATGTGTATACATGTACGTGTAATAGTGTTGTATTTCATCAGCAGGTGATTAGATTCATGTTGTCAAGTGCACTTCTGAATGGTAATCAACACATATACCAATAGCATGTTGGCACAGTACAGTACATGTACATTCTATGTACATGTACATGTATGTGTACAGTGTACATGCACACATCGTGTACATATTTATTGGCATGTATACTGTATATGAAATGTACGTGTACATGTATTTTTAAAGAAAATACTGCATAATGGTATACCGATGAATCATGGAAAGAAAAAAAGTTACAGATAATTGTATCAGCAACCAGTGCACTTGCAGCCTCAGTTATGTACAAAATGTCATGTACATGTGTACAGGCATGTGCGTGCACCCTGCATGGCAGACGTACATTGTACTGCACATTTTTCCCCACAAAATTAAATTTCAAAGACATGTACATGTACATACATGTACATGTACAGTCACATGTCCATGTACATATACATGTACCATGACCTGTATTTGTAGACAGGCACAGGTGAATGTGCAAGTTAAAATGAAACGGCCATGACATGCACACAGCCTGATACATTTACCGTAGCATACATGTGCTGTACCTTGGTACATGCACAAATGAAAACTGAAGTAACCAGTGCTCACCAGTACGTTTCACATGGGGCATGGGTATCTAAGTACATGTACATGTACATACATGTATACTGGTATGGGGCAGTGCTGATATCCAGGATTCTCGCAAAATGACTGGTACCGCGCCAGTGAAAATAGCGACCATGGCGACGTACATGTATGCACGCACCAGCGTGTGTGGTTGCTACCCGCAATTTTGTGCAACTCCGGGATGTCTGTGCTGCCCCATACAGTACATGTACACTGTAGTGTGTATTTGCCTGCAACTGGGGACCCCCTATTGTTCCTCTTTTGTTTGTACTTTAACTTTTTTAGAAGCCCACCCATATGTTTTGTACACAGTTGTCAATCAGGGACCTTCTGACAATCAGGGACCTTATTGTCCTCTATTGTTCCGGGTCCCCAATTGAATGCAGAAACAAACTCACACACACAGGTACATGTACATTGTACATGTACGTACCAATATGTGCATACATACATTGTATATTTGTACAATGTACATGTACACACAGGTAAGGGACATTTAGACATGCATGTTTACAAACTACATGTAGAATTTAGTAGGATCTGTAGCTTGCTGTCTGTAGGATTTATGGTTTTGCATTACACTACCAGTATTTGCCTTCCCTGGGAAATAAAGTCAATAGTGAGATAAAGTCTGTTGTATGACCTGACTTCACCTTCTACTATGTGGCAATAAACATGTACAATGTTTACATGCAGGTAGTGATGAACTGCACAACTGGAGCAGTAACGGAAAGCCAAATCTGTTGACAGGGCTCTGTATGTGTCTAATTTATGACGTGCATAATTTGAGGGCTTGTCCATAAAAACCTCCAGTTTCATATGGTTCATGTACATGTACCTGTACACGTTTTGCGAGCCAGTGACTGATTTATAAGGTTTCTTTTTCTGTCTGCTTGATTCACAGATCTTTGGAATCACCTGTGGCTGCAACCCACAATCTTTGAATTATTGTACAGATTTAGGTGAGTAAACATTCGTGTGTTGCACTGTATACGTGTACATGTATGTGTAGGTGAGTCTGTCCACAATAAAAAACACATTTGCACATAACCAAAATCATCTCTTTTTTCAACCGTGTTGTGAGTCAAGAAGTGAACTTTGACCATTTTTACTGATGTTTGTATAATTGTAGAGAGATAGTTTATACAGTTTAATAGGATTTGGTTGTTCATTGCTAAAATAATCAGGATCTTGGTGAAAATGTCCAGCTTATTTTAAGGGGTTCCAGTGGGACATGCACATAACTGTGTCAGCTCATGTTTTTAGATTATCTAAAATACCACTTTCAAGGAGAAAGGCAATTCATCTGTCAAAACATGGGTAGTGCAGGTATAACATTTGAGAAATGTGTCAAAATCTATGGCTTTTTGTTTCTTGAAGTTATCTTAAACAGGAATTTAAGGAGAGCTAATTAAGGAATAACGTATGTCACGGTGTCTGTACACAGAGTGACAAACATGAAACAGGCTGATTTTGCCATTCCTTGAGCAGGTAACCTGAACAAAAACATGCATATCTTCCTGAGAAAGGTTTTTACAAAAATATTTTACATCATATTTGTGGTTTTTACCCTGTCATACGACAAAACTAAGGTTTAATTTTAGGAATTGCAAATGTCTGTCCACTGTTTTGTAACATTTGTCACAACCATTTTTTCCCTCTAAATGTAAAAATCTTAGAAGACTTATCTTATAATTATATACATTTTTTATAAAACAAAATGAAATGAAGTAACAAACTATTCATTAAAAAACATTGGTTTATTGTGCTGAAATGAAAGTGAGAAGACTGTCTGTCCCCAGGTTGTGATATGTGGCAAACATTATGTCTGTCCATGTGATAAATGTTACTCAATGAGAAAAACTTAGTGTTCATTTTAGCTGAAGGTTAATAGTCTTTTTAACAAAAATGATTTTGAAACTGAAAACAAACAAGTTTGGTTTATGAACAATTCTGTTTTCATGCTCTAATTCAAACACCAGAAAGATGTCTGTCCACATGACATACATGTACATGTACCTGCACGTTATATCTGTCCATGTGATAAATGTGATGTGTGTCCAGTGACAAATGTTACATTTTTTTCTTGAAAAAAAAATTCAGTGTTTCCTACGCTGGAATTGTTTTATAAGATAATGAAACTTTCCAAAAGTAAACTAAAAAGAGTATTGGATACATTGCAGGTAATTTTTGCGTTTTGAATTTAATTTTCATACTTACTTAAGAAACAAAGTGTCGGACCATGTGACAAACATTATATCTTCAAGAATAAACTTCTGTAATTTCTTAAATACCGCTCAATTTATCTTCACCTTTCTGTGGCAACAATCAGAAACAGTGAAGACATTTGTAAGCAAACAATAAAGGCAAAATTTTACAGTTGGAAATTTGTACTAAATGTCACGCAAATGTGTCTCTTACTGTGGACAGACCCAGGTACCGGTACCGTACATGTAGCGGCAGCATAAATCTGCCACATATTGTCATTGACATGCCCGATGCGGTGGATATTTGTATGCGTGTGTGTGTGGAATCATTGGGATGAAATTGATGCAACCGTTAAAGTGTCAGACGCAGCACGCCTACCCCAGTACATACGTAATAAAGGTACAGTAGCAGTGGTTTTGCAGAGGATATGAGCTCATTGTCACACAATTAATGTCCAACAGTGCCATTGGCAATATCGGTAAGCTTGTTTTGCTAACCGTGCTGTTTCAGTTTCACCGTACAGCCCCCATGAAAGTAATTTTTGCATGACCGTTTACCAGTACTTTATAAAATGCATCACATGTACATGCAAGTTATGTTGTTGTATTTCACAGGGTTTGTCTTTCTGGTCTGTTTAACCTTTTCCTTACCATTTTTCCGACTTTGATATCGTAGAGTTAATCATATTTCTATTTTTTTTTTTTCCTTTTTTTTTCAAAGCAATTTTTGTTCTCCTGCATTTTTACTTTAAAGTTGAAAATGCGTGTACAGAGTTCAGAAAAGGGAGACCTCTAATCTGTTGGTTTATTGTGCTTTTGTTTTTTTAGCCATTGTTACCGGTATGTTTCAGTCATTGGTAGAGTGGACAGTCGAATACATGTAGGTTGCCCTTGATTGGTTTCAGCTTGGCCCAACTTTGTGGCACTGCTACATTTACCAACCAAGCAGTGCTTTACTTAAAATCATTCTTCCATGCTTACTGCATTGGCTGAGAAATGGTGCATTGACCTGGTAAGCACAGTGTCCTCAGTTACCACTAGCCAGCTATGCAAGTGGGTGTGTTTTGGCGACTGTGACGAGAAACATACAGTGTACATGTACTTTGGTTGGATGCCTGTGCTACATCAGTTACTATGCCTGTGTATGCAGGTGTGAAGTCATTGTTCCAACCAACCTGAACCAGAGGTTTGCTGTTTCTTCATCGCCGGTTCAAAATGGCGAAAAATAAATTGAAAATTACTTTTTGCCTTCTTCAAAGTAAGCAAATTATACGTGTATACTCCCCAATTTACTGTTGCAGCCAGCAAACAAAAATTTGTGCTTTCTTTTTTAATATTAAGAGAGGGCAGCAGCAGTAAGAAACTTGCCGAAATCCTTTTCTGTCCTTAAAAGTGTATCTACAGATTTTTCTGCTGTGATACATTCGAGTAGGTTTTTTTTGTTAGTGGTAAATGGAGGCCCAGTTGGACCCTGTTTAATTTGTGATGTCCCAAAGAAATTGGGTATGCTTTCCCCACTATTCAGCTCCTGAAAGAAGCAGTAGTTTTGTATTCTAATTTGCCTTCTTTTTAACCTCTAAACTTTGTTTCAAAATTGTCCCATGCATATGATAGGAGCAATTTATAATGCTGTGCACCACCAAGTGTTTGCCTGAAAGAGGGAACTCTGACATGTACACTGTACATGTACTTGTACCACTGCCTGTACCATGCAACAACTTTACAGTTGATGTATCGTGCACTGTCACACCCATGCACTGTACCAGTACCTGCATGCGGTACAGTCTCCTGTTTACATGCGACATGTTCCATCGAAAACAAAAAAACTGCCAGTAATGCTTGAATCACATCAACACAAAACCTTTTAACTGTGCCAAGTCCTTGTGGAAAAGTTGCGCCATTTTGTGCAGTACACGAGAAATGCTGTGCTTCAGAGGTACACTGTATGTCAGCACCTCTCTCCAGAATACGTTGGGAAAAAAAGGGAAACCAAAAAACCCTTCCTTGGTAACCTCTTGGTGGTGTTCTTTATTGTGAAATGTTCATATTAGAAGCGTGGGTAAGTGTGTTAACCTCACCCACGTGTGTACACTTTATTTCTACAGTGCCACTGATCCCAACGAACTCTTAAATAAACCTCCAACACCCACACTAAAGATAACCATGGCGGTAAAGTATAAACTTTATAATTTGAATCCTCACAGTTTTAATCATTGGTCCCGTGGGTTCCTAATCATCAGAACTACATGTACATGGATATACATTCCCATAACCCATAAACCTGTTCGAAGGTTTGACCCTGTCACGTTCAGTAATGCGCATTTTTTCCCTAGAAATTCATGCAAGTGCCATGCATACCTTTTCTTGTCTAACAAACATTTAACACTTGTCACCAATCATGGTGTGAGAAATGATTTTTTTTTTGCATGAAGAAAAGAGCTACATGTACATGTAGGCATTGGGTTTAAGAAACCATAGGGATTTGCCTCGCTTGACGGTTAACATGCATGTACCCGGTACAGGCATATCAGCGATGCTGTACCACCCAAGAATGCTGCACAATAATGCTGTACTGATAGTTCATCATGATGTCATACATTGTACATGTACCTTTATTATGATACTGATAAATATATGTTCATGTATCTCTGAACAACTTGCGGATAAAGTGGAACCTTTTCAGTCACCAGAAATCCACAACTGTACGGACAACATACATGTAGCTTAATGTACATTTGGGGGGGGGTTGAAAATGCAGTCCAAAATGAAATTGAAAACCAATAAATGTAACAGTTCTACAAGTTGCGGACGGGAAAAAAGTAAAATACAGTGTCTTTGCACTGCATGTATGCAACTTTTAATGAATGGATACAGTGAATGCAATTTTAACCATAACCAAAGTTTTCAATCATGACGCCTTACCTCAGTGTCCTGAGTCATGCTGTATCCTGAAGTTGTGGTATCATTTCATCCCTTGTCACTTGTACATGTACATACATTTACATGTACTCTGTATTTGTACATGTAAATGCATGTATACATGTACACACATGTATATCATCACATTGGAAATTATGCAAAAGGTGTTCATGCGTTGAGCCGTGGGAAAAAATTCACAAGCATAAATTTTATGAGCTTAAAGGATAAAGGGAAGGGACCAAACAAAACAATTACATGTATTTTACTACAAACCTTGAAACTGCACCTCTGTGAATCATGTAGCCTTATTTACCCAGTACTTATGATTAATATTAATAAATAATAAAAATTAACTTACCAGTACCGGTATATTAATATACTTACCGATACATGTAAATGTATTGCGCAGGTACGGCATAAATTTGTGTTGCAAGGCTTATAAATGCATGATTCAGAGTTGTGCCACGTTTTGTGAAATTGGCTGGAGATCCCTCTCCGACCCCTCTTGCAGGATCCAGAGTAAACGGCCTTAAGCACCAAACAGATCATAAATTCATGGCATCGGTTATTTCAAATAAACAACTGACAAGAGTGTGTAGAAAATCCTCATTTGTGCCCCTCACTGGCCATACTGGTGCATATGCCACTCCTTTGACAGTGAACAGTGTAATGCCTCACAAAACCTTGTAGTGCTGAAGTTCCACAGATTCAAACATGTCAAATGATGCAGCAGGTTTTCATTTCTGCAGAACGTGCAGAAAGAATGTATGTAGCGGTAACACTGTACATTTTGCATGACAGACATGTATGTAATGGCTTTTTATAGCACAACAATAATGAATAAACTTACAAATGTACAGAGAACATGCAGTTGTGTTTGTTCATTTTAGACACCACGAGATCATACATGTACATGTACATGTACCCCATGTATTCCATACTTGCATACATGTACATGTATGCAGGTACTGTTACAATACCTATCCCACTTGCCAGTATTTATATCAGATCATGTCTAATCAGGTAATTGTCAGACGCATGTACATGTGCAGTATCAACCAAAGGCTGACCCTCCCTCTCCGCATGATCATGTCTGCAGCCTGTCTTGGGGAGTCTTTCTGAGCAAAGACACTCTTCTTGTGTGCCCAGCCAAGTGTACCCTACACGTGCAGTACAATACATAGACATCTGTATCGTACATGTACATGTACCGGTACCGGTGAAAGCGTGAGTGAAATAATATAATCTGTACTAGAACCTTTCATCCCGGTACCTACATGTACATGTACATGTACATGTACATGCAATGTGGACCTGTGAACCAAAGAGGTCTGTCCTGCCTAGTGTGACCATTCCTTCCTTTTTAGTTTGAAAACGTGGTTAATGCTCATTATTCCTAAATCATGAACGCTCTTTGGAGCTACATGTACCGGTACATGTTCATTTTTTACAATGATTTCCCTGACTGTTACTCTTCATTTTTGGTGTGAACTTTGTCAGGAATTTGCTGGTTTCAGATTTTTTCACCAGAATTTTCCTTGATTTCAGGATTCTGTAAACAATTTCCTTTAAACGTCTTGAAAGTCCTGAGTTTGCCATTAAGATGTTTTACATATAAAAAGTGATGTACAACACAAGAAATTAGTATCACTAGGGGTGTCTTGAAGCACCCCCGCACTTACATTAACCTCCAGAACTGTTTTTAAAATAAGGGTTTTTGGTCCACCCTTCTGTAGACCCAGCCTAGTCAACACGAGGTTAGTTTAACCTGCAGTTAAGATGTGGACCTCTTTTGTTTACGGGTCCACACTAGGTACAACGCATAAGGTTTGTACAAACGGTGTGCTTTTGTCCCTAGTCGCTCTCCCTCCCCTCCCCTATCCAACCCCTGATCGACATTTGTCATTTAGCGGGGAGGCTGGGACCGTCGAGTGGAGTTGCTGATGTGGATCGGGGGACAAACATGTATATCTGCAAGTCAGATTTTTAATGATGAACTCTGTGGGCACCAATTAATCGACCAGAGTGCACATGCTCCTTCATCATAGACGCATACCGTACATCAGATGATGAATGCGTCATGAATATGGGATTCCAAAGAGACTGAATGTGACCCATGCTCAAAATTGGGTCTCGATATAATTTACTGGAGTTGTGTGGATGCGTACGTTCTTAATCCGTGCACACTCTGCTATGATAAAACTTTAGCTAGCTGTGACATTAAGCCAAGGCTAAGAAGAGTTGAAGCATGAATTTTGAGCTTTGGTACCTCTACGCATATCTTCATCTTCATGTTTTTTAGATCACTATTTTCTGTAAGAGATCTTTGATGTCTGGAATGAACAAAGAGAAAGTTTTGCATGTCCCGTGTGGCGGTTATTTTAAGATCTCTCTCAAATAGCGTCGTGTTCATCAAACCATTAACAGTCAATGAAAGCAAAATTAGACATGGCACTCGCGTCAGCTGTCCAAAATTTTCAGTGACGCACGAGTTTACATTGCCAAGTTAAAAAAACAAAACAAAAACACGCTTTTTATTTGATGTTTTGATGCAGATACGACTGTTAACGCTAACTGAAGATTCAGCTGTATTGCTTACGGCAGTAATAATCTTGTTGACGCACCCTCGCTGACGTGAATGCCTCGGAGGATTTTAACAGCATTTTCGCAGTACATGCACGTACATGTAATGTACATGTATGTGTACGTACCAAGCCACTTGTTGTGGTGGAAGTTACATACATGTACATGTACATAAACCAGTGGACATGTACCGGTACTTGTGGAGCTTGCAAACCAGATGTATGTGGCATGCTCATAATGGCTTTTTGAGCACAGTGTGGATCAATGTCCTGACCCATTCATTTGCCCATTAGTCGGAGCCTAGGAGGAAGAGGGAAAAAATCGAATGAATTCAGCATTTGAAAATACTGGTGGGGTTTTTTTTTTTTTAGCACGTGTCTGTTGTCAGTTTTAAACACCCAGTAACTATAGTCTGAGCATTGAAAGTGTTGGGAAGGTAAATGAACGATCTACATGTACTGGATAGTTGGAAAAGTGCAACATTTACCGGTCTGAGCATTGAAAGCGTTGGGAAGGTAAATGAACGATCTACTAGATAGTTGGAAAAGTGCAACATTTTCTGGTATGACCGGTTTCGGTAGGACTGGTTTTACAAGCGTACCGGTAGTGCAGTTGACATTGTCCATGTACAAATGTACGTGTACAGCTGCGTGCACTGTGTACACCCTGTTTTGTGATTAGTGAGACTAAAGGGTAACTGAGAGTACCACAGTTCATTTATGGTGTGGGGATGAGTTTGCAGGAATCACATGCCCTCTTGTATAAAATGTTCAAGAAGCCCACCGGCACTACCCGTCTGCTGCCATTACATGTATGTGATTTCAGACCCATTTCACAGGATCAGGTTGCAGGTTCTAGTGTTGTGGAACCTGACTTTAATATTGGCATACCTTGTTCTTGTATACCATATAGGTACAGTACATGTATGTCTTACATGTACATGTACATATGTAAATTTACAGCAGTGCACATGTAATGTACACTGACGTTTATGTACCGGTATGTACATGTACATGTACATGCATTTTCACATATCGGTTCATGTAGTGCTACCTATGTAGTGGTGCATACAGTACCTTACAAAGTACATATTATGTCCATGTGTGATGATGGGAAAATAATGGTTATTCATACATACATGTACGCGTGCTTTATGATACCGGTAGGAAACTGATGGTGCTGTGTCCCATGAAGCACATGTACAGTAGTACACCAGTACCTTGGTGCTGATGACTGGTCAAACAGATATTTGACTGTGGAATAAATCAAACTGGCACATGCATGTACATGTACAGTGTATATGTACCGGTATGTACTTGTCCAAGCATGATAAACCTTGAAGCTCATGATTTCAACCGCATCAGGATGCCAGAATGTAGAATTATACACACACTCACGATTGCAAATGATCTTGTGATGCAGAGCCAAGACTTATTCCACCAAGTGTTCCACAGCATGTCAATCTTTATGCGCTATGCAGATCCTCCCAAATCAGATTTATGTTTTCCGCTATTTCCGGTTTCCATGTGCCGTGATGAGATGGGAGGAGAAAAAGAAAAAATCCATTGGACGATTTGGTGCAGTGATGTATGAATGTGTGCCCGGTCCAGTAAACATTGAGCAGTAGCTCTGGCTAAACTTTGGAAGCAATCAATGCAGAACTGTAC